ACAGTCTCAGAAACCCACGGGGGCAGTTCTACCCTGTCCTGCAGGGTCACTGTCAATCAGATTCAACTCGATGGCAGTGAGTTGGGTTCGGGTTTTTGACACTTTGAGTGGTTGTCACAATTGTTGAGCGTCCTATTGCCATAGAGTAAGCAGAGACCAGGGTTGTTACTAATATCCTACCATAGGCAGGACACCTGCCTCCCCCCAGGTTAAATCCAAAGTATTACCAATGAGTCCATGTAGACTGATACTGAGTCTGTAGGAAAGAGGACAATTTTGGCCACACTGTCCCCTTAGGTTTCCAAGGTTCTGAATGTTTATAAAAACCGGCTGTTTTGAATCTTTCTTTTTCCTTCAGAGCAGCTGGTGTGTTTGCACCACTGACCATTTGGTCGACAGCACAGAGCTTAGCCACTGGGATCTTATTGGGTCCAAAATGTCCATGGTGCCAAGATTGGGATATCTCAGTTGGATGCTTTCTTCCCATGTAAACTGAGGATAGTAACCCATCCCTTGAAGAACTTTGGGCAAGTAAATGCCCTGAAAGCATAGGGCATCCAGCCTCAATCCTGACCCAGGTAGCCACTCAGCAGGTCATGAGTCACTTTTTCTTTCTTGCGGGTGACATTCATAAGCCAGGATTGTCTCTCTTGGGCAAATCTGCTGTGTATGGACAGAAGGTGTACGTTGGCATTAGATCAAGAGCTTACAAGCAGTTCTCGTGTGAGACCTCTAGCACTTGAGTCAAATAAAGAGAGTCAGCTAAATGACTACTACCCATTTACCACGAAAGAGAAAAAGGTATGCTGTGTGAACTTGGTGCATCAAGCAACAATAAACTCTTCCCCAAGTTCCAGGGCCCAAAGCCTGAATCACTTCCAGATTGGTCACAGATTACTCCAACCTTTTCAGATCAGATAAGGTAAACATTGTAGAGAAAAGGGTGGCAGTTTCGTTTGCAAAGGTTTCTGCTTTACAAGCAATCTGGGTTTGCGTGATCCGATGCCTCTGTTACTGCTGAGCTACCCCAAGTGTAGAAAGGGGCTGTGATTATAGACAGTCTCATTAGTAGGAACAGGATAATGTCCTTCCACCCCACATCCTTGACATGCACCTGGGTCTCAGGGGAGCTAAAATATTCTAAGAAGATGTCAGCTGCCCACGTTGTACTCGTGATTGGTTATAAATACTATAAATCTGATTAATTCACACTCTCTCTGGAGACCAGTCCCTGGAAAAGGGCATCATGGTTGGTAGAGAGTCAGAGATAAAGAGCAAGATCCTCAATGGGAAGGGCTGACACAATGGCTGGAATGTGGATACCTTCTAGGAAGTATCAAATCTCTTCTATGATAGCATTTCTTCACTGGCCACAAGCACTGTGTTCTTCGAAGAATATAGTTAAATTGAAACTGTGGTCTTTAAGACTATGCGACAGAAGAAATCACTCTGTAGTCAGGTAAATATGGTGAATTAGTGGACACCTCGTGTGTTATTCTGGGTTGACTAGAGAAACAAATTCACAGGCACTCATAGGTGTATAAGAAAGAGCTTTATACACAGAGCAGTTGAATATTGAGAAAACATCCCAGCCCAGTCCAGATCAAGTCCATAAATCTGATATTAGCCCATAGTCCGATACCAATCTATGAAGTCCTCTTCAGACTCACAAACCACATGCAATGACACCAAATGCAGGGAAATCACAGGCCAGTTGATGGGAAGTCTTGTGGATCCAGTGGCGCTGTAAGCATCTCAGCACTGAAAGGGGTCTCCACGTGGTTCCTCCAGCTCAGGGCACTAGGTAGTTCCATGTGTCTTGACAGCTACAATGTCTTCCAAGGAGTGAACGTGTGTCCCACCTCCAAGAGCGATTTATCTCCTTAGTGTCTCCAAATCAGATCTTTAAGCTGCAATCTGATTGACAGGCTAAACTCCACCCCTTCACTCTTAATCCTCAAATTGACACCAGATTATGTAACTGCCACACCTCGTATGCCTGGAACTTACTTCACACAGGATGTTTTCTCTGTATTTGATGTTTCTAGGCCACAGAGACTTCTCTCTCCGCTGAACAACTGTAGCAACGGTTTTCTATACTGGTTCCCCTGAACTTGATGGTTGCATCTCATCCTGTTACGTATTTAATGTGCATATGTCTTATCTCTTTCCTATGACTTTGGGTTCATTTGCTATTTCTTTTCTTTGGGTAGGACGGTGGGTGGGGGCGCAGTAGAAGACATTTGAATGGTCACACAATATAACAGTTTCCCATATCACCATGGACTTCCTTGGCTAAAATGCTTGAAACAGATCTTAAGCAAAAATCTGTTGTAGAAAGACATAAATAATTGATTTACAGCTGCTTGCCAGTACCTCCTGGGAACATTTTGTCTTGTCTATTTTCTCAAAATTGTTGAGAAAATCAAGTTATCAAGCAAAGAAGAGCTTAATGTTTGGTACTTCTGAGTAGGCTGGCTTTCAAAATTCTAATGAATTTAAGCAGATAACATTCCCACTGCTAAGGAATCTGAAAGAACACAAAGCCATTGTGCCAAAAGCCAAATTAATTACCTAAGAGAAAATAGCAGAAGATATGAGCAGCCTTCCAGGGGAGTGGGAAAGTCAATGAGAAACTCAGTAACAGTCTGAATCCTCGGGATTTTACTATTAGACTTACAACGCAATGAATTTATATGGATTTATAGTCATATGGGTGACTTGAAAACTGTGAGCATGCAACATGAGCCATGTTTTTTTCAATGCATTTTATTTATATAATCCGGAGAAAATAAAGCATTCTATCAATTAATTCTGTCTCCATGGGAAATAGTACTAAGCCAAAAGAGATCTGGCAATTTATATTGGATATATTCCAAACTCCAGTAAGGGCCTTGGTGTATTCCAAATAGCCAATAAGGGAGAATGTTTCTTTAAAAATATGGTAAAAAAAACTTGTCTCATGATGCCTTCCAAATTTCTGAGACTGGGACACACTGTTCCAGTGAGGTATCTTTCTAAGCTAAGCGCTATATGGCTACTAACATCTGATTTTTAAACAAAATGTATTACAATTAATTTAAGCTCTACACAGTTTGATGATGGAATTTATTTTTAAAGTATCACAAAAATGCAGAAATCCATTAGCAATTCTAAGCTAGGGCCACAATTTAAATGACCAGATTTGAATTTCGTGATTACAAATTATTTATTTCACATGTCTACTCCTCTAGCATTTCCAAGATTTGGGTGCTTTGAGAGTACGTAGGTTGCTGGGGAAAACAAATCTCCCTTTGTGGCATGGCAGCAAAGAACATATTTCTTTGTAATTTAACCTTGGGATGAGAGAAATACACCAGATCTGAAATCCTATCGAAGGTAAGCACAGTGTGCTTCACATCATTAAATTGATTGGTTTCACATTCCTTCCAAAACAGTAAGTGGAAGTTTAAAATTTCCTCTTTCAGGGAAAGGAAGGGCCCTTTGCCCTTGCTCAACGCCACATGGGTCACGGAACCTAAAATATGTGTGTTTCACAGGAGAAGAGATAGATGCTTCTTTTTGGTGGTCAAGCTAATATAACACTGAGCCATTTAGTTATTGCCTTGATTTAGAGAGATCGTCTGAATTCATTCAGTAATTACACTCTTTAAAAACATGGTTTATCCAATAGCTTGTTGATGATCTATTCTCTGTTTCATAACAATATTAGAAATACAAAATGGGCCCGGGAAAAGGGTGGAATTTGAGGGAGCTGCATCAGGCAGGAGAGAGAATGGTTACATAAGCTTTATTCTCTGGGTGGTGCAAACAGTCGGTGCTCAACTATGAACTTAAAGGTTGGCAGTTCCAAATCACCCAGCGGGACCATGGAAGGGAGGAAGACAAAGCCTGGGGGTCTTCTTTGGTAAAGATGAAACCAACAAGAAACTCAATGGAGTAGTTCTAGGTAGCACGTGGGATAGTCTTGAGTCTGGATTTAAGTCAATGAACTGTGGGGGGTTTTGGATACATTCTTTTGGTGTAAAATATTCATGAAGCTTGGCAAGAGGTAGAACAGAATTATAGGATTCCCATTGCATTTACAACTGGGTTGCTGGTCCATTCCCATGCCAAGGATTAGGGTGTGTCATGGTAGGAAATTGGCAAGGAAGAGAGTAACACAAGTCTGCTAACACATCTTCTCTCTCTCATCAACTCCTCACCTTGACCTTCACATGCCAAAGCTGTTTCTATCTCATGATAATCATGTTCTCTTGCTTCAACTGGAAACATCATCTACAGGAAGGATTTCCATAATGGAAAATGATCTTGAAAATGAAAGGTTCCCGTCCCTCCTGGAGCAGTTATGTAATACTGAAGACTTTCAGCCAATTCTGAATTGAGGAGCTTAAAGTTGATGATTTAGAGTCATACCTTTAAAAACAGGTTAAAATATTTGGAAAGATACAATTGGACAAGTCTACCTTGATACTTTTTGATGAAGGGATTTGAGGTTAAAAATAAAATGAAACATAGTATGAAACACGGATAAAGTTTTAGGCCTGTAGAGAGGGTCAAGAATAAAATTAGTCTTGAAATTTTTGAATAAATTCAGTGGAAACTTTTAAAAAAGAAGTAATGCTAACTTTGGTTCTTATTGGTTATTACAAGTAATTTCTCAAAAGGGGTCTTGACTCAGTATGTGTTTGACAATATACTTTTTCAATCTAAAGTCAAACATAAATCAATCAACCATTTTCTACATTGATTATCACTGATGATTACAATCATTGGGGAATCATTATTAAGACTCAATTAATGCTTTTTAAGATTCTATAAAAATATTTTTAAGTCTGATTTTGTTTACATGTTTCTCTGGGAAGAACATTAAAATAACAATAATGTTGTGATGGGAGTTACTGATTCTTAAGTTGATTTTAAAATATTCATTTCTAATTCTTTTCAATGGTGATGTCCATTCAAAAGCAAGAAAGCATCCTTGTATCTTGGCTACTCACCTTTTGTCCTTTCACTCCATGACAGTCGCATTTTCCACAGCCAGAACCACCACAGTCACCCTGGAACTAAAAGAAAAAGTACTTGAATATGAAGCTCTTTTCAAATTAAAGTTGATAATTAATTCCAATGATCTCAGCACATTCACTTACTTAAGAGACAATTGCTACTCAGTTATTATAAGCACATAACCTCAAATAATGTAGTTCGTACAATTCTTCTTTTGGTATCTGGAATTTGTAATGAGTGTCATGAACATTTTTTTTAATTCAGAAAAATTTTATTAGATCAATGACCACATTATAGTTGCTGTTTCACAAACTTTCATAGAGAATTTATTGCAATCGAGTGATCTTTTAAAGACAAAAGAAAAAAGGATTCCCATTACAAAGAGCATTTATATGTAACTTATGTATAAAATGAAATGATTTTGCAGATTTAATATTCCGTAGCATTAACTGTGTAAATTATCTGCAGATATAAATTATTCTGTAGCCGACAGTTAAGTGTCATACATATCTGATACACTGGGAGCTTCATCTTCACTCCCCTTTAGTCCCTCTGCAGTTCCACTCAAGGCAGTGTCCTGGCATGGGGAATGTTAAAACGCCTTGCTTCTAGAGTTTCTCTCTCTTTTTTTAATAAATCATTTTATTGGGGACTCTTACAGTTCTTATAACAATCACATCAATCGCATCAAACACATTTGCACATATGTTGCCATCATCATTTCCAAAACATTTTCTTTCTACTTGATCCCTGGGTATCAGCTCTTCTTTCTTTCCATCCCTCTCCCACCCTCCCCTCCTCATGAACCCTTGATAAATTATAAATTATTATTATTTTCATATCTTATAGTGTCCACTGCCTCCCTTCACCCAGGTTTCTGTTGCTTGTTCTCATGGGGTGGGGACGTGCTCAGATGTCGATCATTGCAATCTGTTGCTCATTTTTCTCCCTTCTCCCCCCACCACCCGACAAGGAGAGCAAAATAAATTGAAGTCATTTAATCACAAGAATAAAGGTCTGACTTACGCTTCGTGCTTGGTCAATTTCTATTTGGGAAGGACTCATCGAGGAATTGTTTTAATAGGACACTGTGCAGATTTGCAAGGCCAGGGAAAGGTCTTGCTTCTGATTTGGGCTTCCTTTTCTAAGACCAAGTGGGAATGGAAGCTCCTACAACAGAGCCGATGCTCTGTCACCGGGGACTCCCAGGGTCCATCTAGCAGTGTGTACCCCCAAGTCCCCTTGACTCCCAGAGAGCCTGTGGACAATGGAACAACATTCTGCTGGATCGTGTATCATCTGCATGGCCAATTGTGGATTGGAATTTTGGGGTTGATAGAGTTTTTATTGGGTGATTCTGGAGGTAGATTTCTGGTCCTGTCTTCCTAGTCTGTCTTAGTCTGGAAGTTCCATGAAATCTTCCTGGCATCACAGCAACACACAAGCCTCCACTGTGGGCAGACGGTGGTTGCCCATGATTTATACTCACCAGCAATTGAACCTGGTTCTCCCAAATGGGAGGAACCACTGATTACCAATGCCCTCATGTCTGGCAATATAAAGCCACTCAAACAACAATGTCTTTGAAAGGAGAGAACAAATAAGCGAGCTTCCTTTTAAGGCTAATCTTTAAACAGCTGATTTCAAATTCAGTTCACCTTCAATGTCAAATGGAAGAATACTCAACAACATGCCTTTGTAGTTTATTTCTAATACAAAAATCAATTTAAAAAATGCAAGGAAGGGGGCGTCAAATAATAAATGTTGGAAAAACAGCTTTTGAAAGGCCAGCTTGTGCCCCAAATCATGAGCTGTGGCCGAATAGTTATTATGTCATTTGTTATCATTAACGATTATTTTGAGATAGGTATTACCACTCCTATTTTGCAGACACAGAAACCAAATTAAGAAAAGAAAATTTTTTTTAAGAAACCAAATTAAGACAGGCTCGGTAACAGGCTGAGCACAAGGTTCTTATTAAAACTCAAGTCTGACTAATCTCAACTTCAATGACTTAAAACACCTAACATATTTACATCATACAAGGATGTCTATACCCAAAACAAGCTCGCGGCCATCCAGTCGACTCATAACAGCCCTACAGGTCAGGGTAGAACTGCCTCCGTGAGTTGAAGTCCGTACATTTTCGCTGGAGTAGAAAGCCTTGTCCTTCTCACTCAGAGTGGCTGGTGATCCCAAAGGGCATACACACAAGGAACCACTACTACGGAACAGGACTCCTGAATGATGCCTACAGATTGCGCTTCTCCACCTGTGGGTCACAACCTCTTTGGGGGTGGGTGGGTCAAATGACTCTTTCACAGGGGTCGCCCAATTCATAACAGTAGCAAAATTACAGTGATGATGTAGCAACAAAAATATATTGGGGGGGTCAACACAACATGAGGATCTGTATGAAAGAAAGGGTCCGGAAGAAGGAAGGTTGAGAGCCACAGCTATAGACATTTATAATTTCCCTAGAAGAATCCAAACTTTAAACTGTAATAGAACTCATAGCTATTGTGGATATAATGGAAGGGATAAAATACAAATAATTTCATGAAGAAGTTTTATTAGCAGATCTGTTTTGACCTGAGGATGACAGGTACCCCTAAATTGAGCTTCAGGGTGATAACTGCTTCTTGAAAATACATACTATTAATATACACAGATTCCTCACTTAGGAACTATCTTGTTATTGGCCTTTATGATCATAGTAGACATACTGATTGCCTCCTATTCTTTGTCACACTACCAACATATACTGGGCAGGCATGAGTCTCAAGGTGAGAGTGATGCTGGTGGTGATGGTTCCAGGTCTGTGCTGCCTTGGATGGGTCGTGGTTCTCAGGGGTTCAGAAGTTAAGTAATGGGATAAGTTGGAAGTTATATGAGGCTGTGCAGTCATCCTTCCTTACTGCGATCCGACGTGATCATCCTCCATTTATGCCAGACACTGATGTTTGAGTGAGGGCCTGGTCTCTGGAGCCTCACTGCTGGTAAGCAAGGAGTGCATGCACTGCGATCAGGCGAAGCCTATCTTTTTAACCATACACTGAAGTCTTAACTCCACTGCCTTTCACATCTCTGCATGCAAACAGCTACATCAGGAGATACTTATTTTATAAAGTTATATCTGAGCAAGTGCCTACAAGACTAGTGGACCGTTCCTAATTTTACATTTTGGAAACGGGGACACTTGATCATTGGCCACACACCACAGATAACAGATCTGTGTCTTTCTGTAACTCACATGGTAAGCGATTTTCAGTGTATATTTCTGTAACCTCTTAACATTTAAAATAAATAAATGTGCACCGTTTTCTTTCCTAAGCTGGGCTTTTTGACCAACTATTAAGAGTCATCCAAGGAGGTGAGGGCAAAATCTTTGAACTAAGTTCCAGAAAGTTCATCCAAAATACACATCGAAGAGACACTGCAGGAACGACAGGGATGCGCCCACCTGAAACAGCGCCACTTCCCATCTCATCCCCACGTGAGGGCTAAAAGGGCCTGTACCTGGGTCCCATTAGCTGCTGACTATCTACCTCTACTGTATTCGCCATCATTTACAGACAATGGCTCTTTGGCAGGGGCAGGAGACATTTTGTCTGCCAAGGCCCATTTGGATATTCCTAACATCCTTCCATTCACAAGCTATACTCAAACATTTAATGAATTCACCCCTACAGTGATGGCTGGAACTAATTCTCCTTGGTGAGGTGTGTGATGTTAGCGTCTACTTATTGTTTCACAGGCCCTACATAGCCCAAGGGCCTCAGAAGGCTCAGAGGGCAGACATTCCTCACCCCTGACTTAAGGGGTTTACCCTACACACTGTGTGTCTTGGGAGCAGGTCCACTCACTGTAATTCCAACTCACAGCAACCCTGTAAGGCACAGTACAATCGCTCTTCTGCATTCCCAAGACTGTAAATCTTTACAGGAGTAGAAAGCTTCCTCTTTCTCTTGTGGAATGGCCAGTGGTTTCACACTGACCTTGAGATGACTTCAAGGTTAGCAGCCCAACCATAACCCACTATGCCACAGCCTCACCCAGAGGCTGATTCTGACTGTATGACTGCAAATCTAAATTCCCGTCAGATGTAAGAGGCCTCACTACAAACTAAAGAATATGGCTAATCAACTGATGGTGCACCATTGATTGTGAGATCTGTCCTAATTGTATCCTGTTAAAACATTAATCAATGGACAGCTTAGAAATATAGACATGGACTAGTAAGAATCCAATTACTATTTGCTGTAATGGTGGCCGCAGCCATTTCATTAACTTTAACCATAAACGTAGATAAAAAATCAGGTGATACTATGTACATGAACTCAGAATCTATTACTTAATAACCAGCACTATAGAAAAAGTTCTAAAAATGAAACTCAAGAATGACTGTGTGACCATTCCAGTTCACCAGGAGAACCCATGGAATAAGCAAGGAATCTCTGGAATATCTACAGCTATTCCATCACCATGTCAGCACCCAGACCAGAATGCCCAGCAAGGTCAGGCAGTCACAAATCACTCTGGGGTCTGGTTTAACTGCCTCTCTGGTATTGTCATTCCACGACTTCAGTGATTCTGAGGTAACTATGACCCAACTTTTAAAATTCTACTAAATTCTATTCTACAGAGGAAAAAGAGACCATCAGGATAGTAATTATTTATTTGTAGGATCCAATTAGGGAACCGTCCTCTAGTATCCAGGCAGAGTTGGGGCTGCGGTAGGAATGAACAATGGACTTTTCGACTCATAGTTCAATAGGCAGAGACCCAAAACAACGGGTTCAAAACAGCAATTCAATGATTTTTTTTCTTTCTTCTTAAATGTTAATAAAACCAAGTAGTGCTTAGCTATCAGAATAAATAGCATCTAGGGTGTTAAAGACTTGTCTTGAAACAAGCAGTTATTTGAGTGAGGCATTAACTAAGTCCACACAGAAGAATCACACAGCCTGTGTGATACAAGGATTATAAATACTAAATTCCAAACCCGGAGGAGGAAATAGTGTCAGAGCTTAAATTCTGGACACCCAATTTGCAGAAG